ATACATTAGCCTTTGTTTCTGCTAAAAGAGGTGTCGACCAGCTGGGGCAACAAGAAAATCGGCGAAATCGAGTGTGACTATTAAAAAATAAATCATTATTATATTAATATTGACAATAACAACCGACCGTCGTGGGACAGCATTTGCTTAGCATTTCCGGGTATTTGGGCCATGTTAACAATACCGTTTAACTGTCACGTTTGAAGGGACGAAATCGTGACATCTTCACATCTCCCAGCATGGTAAATCGCCACATGTTCACGTCTTGCCGTGATACCAGGTTGGTAATACACGGTTCGGCTGCATTACATATTACACATCTTCCGTAGTTCTTTATAGAGCCCTGATTAGAAGACTTCTAGACAAACTGGAAGAACTGCCACCGAAACTGAATATGTGACGTGGATCATAAACATATCAGCAATTAAACAACATCTTAAATTTCTCTTCACAAAATACATCTCCTTGCAGTATCAACATTAATTCGGCTGACTTTTATATTTGATCCAATTGGTAAATAGGCTATATTTACACCATAACGGTGCATAGCTGATAGACAGGGACTTGTAGTTTTTAAATATATTACTGATTTTCTTTGAATATAAGAATGAGAGAGAATAGTCAGGGGTTTTGACATTACATTACATATCATTTGTTAGACGTTTTTATACAAAGCGACTTACATACATTCAGTACTGTGGACAATCCCCACAGGAGCAATTTGTGGTGAAGTGTCTTGCCCAGGGACACAACGACATGCTGACTGCAGTGGGACTTGAACTTGCTACCCCCTAATTCGAAGTCCAGCACCCTATCCACTGATCCACAGCCTGCATGGAATCAGAATTTAAATAGCTTACCATTAAATGACGGATATACCTTTCTGTCTATGATGTTTTACAAATCAGATATTAATGTGTAGAATTACAATATGTGAAAAAATATAGCAATATCCTGTAAAATTATGTGAAAACATGAATAAAACTACACATCTTCAGATGTTATACATGCATAAGTGTCCTACACTAATAATACAAAGTTATTATGGCATTGTATGCTGTGTGTACCTTATTTGTAACATCTTCAGACCTTTCCAACTCCTCAACACTTGTCTGTCTTTGACTGTTGCTGGTGTAGGTTCAAATATCAAAAAAATATACGTGTGGATAACAAAATACATCCGTCATGAACTAAGCTGGAAACTTATACTGGAAAGTATAATTTATTGTGTTAACACTTCAAACTAGACAGTTTTTTAACCCGCACGTTATTGGATTTGTTTTGCTGAATATGTTGTATTTACATACAAAATAGGGGGAAAGTAGAAGATCAATGATAGAAATATAGAATATAAAAAATCAAGAAGATACTGTGAGTGATCTCTACAATAAAACAGTTTAGTGCAGGATGTACAAAGATATTAATTGGAGGATGTGCAAAACAGAAAAACGAATTAACCTTTATTTAAACATTAAAGAATACTTTAGATTAAGTTCTTCTTTTAAATATCAAAAGAAGATGATCAAAAGAGTGTCAACATTCACCTGATTGGTACTCTTTACAATAAAGCCATCGCACTATTTGGTGCAAGCCAGTTTGTAAATCCATTAAGGATCTTTTCTTTGTTGACATTGAGGTTATTGGCATAGTTGAAATGCAACACTCGTCTCTCTTTTCAAAGCTAAATCATCAAATCCAAGAAATATCTGATCTATTCTGTTTCAAATGCATCCTGCTTGACATCCAGCTGCCTGCTTCAGAGGGACAATGCTGCCAAGGTCACTGGATGTGCTGGCAATACTCTGGAGGCAGCATAGGGTCGAGAAAGACAGCAGAGCAAGATATGGCTAAGATATATAGCTCCTCCTAGCTTTTTAATGGCTCTGAACCCTTGTAGTTCTGACAATCCTATACTCCAATGATAGAATGGTTAGGATCAGTTGCTGAGGTATGAGGTTGTTTAAAAAAAAGAAAAGGATATGGCGAGCTAAGAAATATAGAAAGGCCCCAACTTTATGTTCCATTGAGAGTCCCAATCAACAATTTCATTGATCTTGTTTTACTGTTTTTCCTACAAGGTAATTTGTCACAGAAAGGCACTAGATAAGAAGGCTCTCTGAGGTGAGGTGATGCCGGCAGAGAGAATCTCCCCTGGGCTAGGTGTTGCTCCCCTGAACTATTTGTTCCTGGCTCTATAGTTGTCTGCCAGCATAGCAATGCCATTTGTCACTGTCAACAGCTGGTGCAATACCTCCTTAAGGGTGGGACTTATACGGATACCACTGCACATTAGTGATGGAGGGAAAATTAGAAGTGATATGCTTACTGGTACAGCTTTGATTTATTTTTGCTTTGTTAGCATGGGGCTGACTTAGCATTCTGTGATCGTGTTGTGTCCACAATGTGTGTGATAAGAGTTCATAATCTGGAGGTAAACGCCTTTGGCAGTATGACTTCTAGCTATTATGAGGAGTTGATTGTGTGATGATGCGTACTATCCAGAGTACTCGCTGTATTGGCTTTGACATTGCCACAAGAGGCTGGTCATGTTACCTTGTGAAAACTCATCAGGTATTATTAAGGTCTTGGAGCTCTATTCGATGAATCGTATTAGGCTCAGATTGCTTCTCCCACATATGCTGCATTGTAGCGCAAACCAATTACCACATCTTTACAAGAACCTCACTTTGTGCCACTGAAGGAGCTTAACCAGAAAAATATACAACTAAACAACACAAAAAGGACGATCATTTATCATGTCACTAGTTTTAAAAGAGCAAAAAAATTACAGCGCCTTGATAGAAAGAGATAAAAGTGATTAACAAAGCTTTCTTGACATCCAAAATCAGGCTTCTGGCTATCTGAATAAGGACGAGCGAACTTAATCCCTTCCAGCAGAGCACAATGTAGGAAACAAGAAAAGGGCTAGGTAATAGCTGAGATCGGTCACTGGTGCCCCAATTATATGGACAGAGCTGTGGCCCCGGGACACAACTTAATGACGTTAATAAGGCTTGTCTGTCTGTTGAAAATCAGCTTAGAGTGCATCCATGCTGACCTACAGCATCACTCTGGCCTTAGTTCAATTAAACAGGCAGCATGAGAAGTAGCAGGGTGTTTCACAAATGGTGGGGGGGGGGAGACAAGTTAGAGACTGTCCCCCGCCCTGACTGTGTTCCCCGTGGACCACGAGCCTTTCTCATCCCCTCTGATAGCCTTAATGAGGATCAATTTGGAGTAGCGAATGCTCTTTAATTCAGTATGGCTGAGATGCTCTGTGATTAATGACAGGTACTTAGCCAGGAGACTGGTCAATAAACGCACTGGGCCAAGAACGTAATACCAGGCTATACGCCAAAGGGGAGAAAAGCTTTCTCCAGGCAGTAACACCACCCAGATCAGAAGGCGTTGACGGGTGCAGAGAAAAAAAAGGATAAGACAAAAAACGTTGAAGTTTACCGGTTTCAATATTTACCATAGTAAAATTTGCATGATCATATTGGATATTATATCATCCATTAAACCAAGTTTGAATAAGAACACGTTGTGTTCAAAACTGTCAAGCATCCAGTAGCTTTGCATGTAACCTACTCTTGTGAAAACACTTCACCTTGTTGCAACATGGTTGCAAAGACTTCAGACTTCTTAGTTTTCATGTAGAATTATAGGCCATTGAACTTCAATATCAAATGTGGTCAAATTCTTTCAAGGTATATATAAGCACTGTTGAACTATATTTGAAGAATACTGAGATACAAACTGTGATAATGTTGGTCATTTATTAATCAGGTGAAGTTATGTTCTACTATTTCATCTCTGGACATGCGAATATATCCTTGTTGGAAATGAAACCACATGAATACTACAAGATAACCTGGAAATCATGGTCATATTTAATCAAGCCCTTTTATTTATTGCCTGATAAAGACCAGAGGATGAACTCGTTAATCATGCCCCATTCTGTATGCATTCACACTGCTTTACATGAAGATAATACAGCCTATGCCTTTATTATCCTCAAAACTGAGAACAGAAACTCACAACTGCACCATGTCATCCTCTAATCTATCACACAATTACCATAACCCAAACACACACAATAATAATCGAAGGAAATTATAAAAACGTTCCTCTGCAAGGTCACAAGAACTTTTTTTATGTTCATTATACATTATGCATGTTAATCAATGGGCTACATATTGGAATATCTATTCACATGGATGGATGTGTAGTACTGCATTTCTGATGATGCTCATATATTACCTGTGTGTGTGTGTGTGTGTGTGTGTGTGTGTGTGTGTGTGTGTGTGTGTGTGTGTGTGTGTGTGTGTGTGTGTGTGTGTGTGTGTGTGTGTGTGTGTGTGTGTGTGCATGTGTGTGTGTGTGTGTGTGTGTGTGTGTGTGTGTGTGTGTGTGTGTGTGTGTGTGTGTGTGTGTGTGTGTGTGTGTGTGTGTGTGTGTCCGGGGCTGGCTGTTGCAACACTGACCTCCAGTGTGCGCACGGAAGGACAGAGCAGAGCGCGTTTAGGTGCTTGGTGCGGCACTCCGCAGCTGTCAGTCTGTGCGTATTGACAGCCCCTAGCTCCTGCTGACTTTGTACATTATAATGGACGCGAGCGCACACTCATACTGAAATAGACCTCCAATAGTCAAATCAGAAGAAAGCGAGTCAGTGATGGGCTGCTGTCCGATCTGTAACTGTCAGCAACAAATCTTACACTGCAGACAAACAGGACACACGCAACGCAAATGCTCCTCCAGTAGCAACCTAGCCTAATATCATTAATTTCTCCTAAATACATGATCAAATATAAAACAGCAGTTATATAATATAGTCGGCTTATTTAACAGTTTTCTCTTCCGCATTGCCACTGTCTTTTCTCAGCGCAGCGGGTCGTTTCTAGTTTTTTTCTAATAGAAAAAAAGAAAAAAAGACACGTGATTGTTACAAACCTCTCAGGACACAGCGGGGACGCGGAGGTGGAGAGATGCGGGCACAGTCAGAATGGGAGAGGACGCGTTGAGGAGGGAGCCTTCTCTTACTATGGACATTCAGCTGCGGAGCAGCCTGCATATTTTTGGAATAAGGACTTAACATACTTTGCATATCGCCTTCTCTCTCTCTCACTCTTTTTTTCTAAAGGAGAGATTTGCGTGCATGGAGATGGAAGATCGCAGGTGAGGAGAAGAAAGGAAAAATGACATTTACAGTAGATACGCGCTGAGGTCCTAATGGGATATTACTACAGATTATTTAGGCATATTTTACTTTTTTACATTTTACTTGACTAAAAACAAGTAAAAATGGATTTTTTAAATAGATCCAGCTTGGAGGACGGAATTGAGGCAGAAAATATCTCCTCTAATTCCACATCTCTGAGTCAGTACAGCCAGCTTGCTATCTGGGGTCTGGCCGGACTTGTCAGCTTTCTCATTTTGTTTACAATAGTCGGGAACGTCCTCGTTGTAATCGCCGTTTTAACGAGCAGAGCTCTAAAACCACCCCAGAATCTTTTTCTCGTCTCCCTCGCCAGTGCAGACATACTGGTGGCCACACTGGTCATGCCCTTTTCTCTGGCAAATGAACTTATGGGTTACTGGTTTTTTGGTAAAATCTGGTGTGACATTTATCTGGCTCTGGACGTTTTATTCTGCACCTCTTCAATTGTTCACCTGTGTGCCATCAGTTTGGACAGGTACTGGTCAGTGACACAGGCATTAGAGTACAACTTAAAGAGAACACCTAAAAGAGTTAAAGGCATGATTGTGGTGGTGTGGTTGATTTCAGCTGTCATCTCCTTCCCACCACTGATATCAATGGATAGGAGCAGCAATGAGGCCAGTCCCACGTGTATCCTGAACGATGAGACCTGGTACATCCTCTACTCCAGTATCGGATCATTTTTCGCCCCCTGTGTCATCATGATCCTGGTCTATATTCGGATATACCAAGTGGCAAAGAACAGGACCAGAACGATGTCGGAGAAGAAAAGAGATGTGGACTCCCCACTCGAGAATGGAATGGACCAAGCCGAATCAGGAAGAGGCGGGTCAGTAAAGTCCAACAGGGAAAGCATAAAGGATCAAGAACGTGAGAATGGACACTGCAAAGAGCATGCAGTCGGATCCCCTCTACCGAATGAGCCCAAACATCCGCCAACGGACCACGATGATGACTACGAAGACAGCAGCTCGTTGGACGAGAAACCTAAGAAAAGTACCAATTCCTCCAAACATCAACGTGATGAAAGAAAGGACAGGAAGTCCAGCCGCAAAAGCAGCTCCGCCTCCAAATACTCCAGCAGGAAATCGCGTTCCAGCTCCAAATCCATGGAGCTTTTCTCATCTCGCCGCAAACGCCGGAGCACCGTCAACCGCAATAAAGCCTCTGCCGCTAGAGAAAAGCGATTCACTTTCGTCCTTGCCGTCGTCATGGGCGTTTTCGTCTTGTGCTGGTTCCCGTTCTTCTTCTCTTACAGCCTGTACGGGATCTGCCGGGAGCCATGTGAGATCCCTGAGACGCTGTTCAAGTTCTTTTTCTGGATTGGCTACTGTAACAGTTCGCTAAACCCGGTTATCTACACCATCTTCAACCAGGATTTCCGCAGAGCCTTCCAGAAGATCCTCTGTAAGTCATGGAAACGCTCTTTCTGAATGCTCTCTGTATGGGACTGTAATAGAAACTTGACCCTGCAGATACATTCAAACTGTTCTGATCTGTATGATAAAGTGCTGGCCTGAAGGGAGTGGGGGGCTTAAACACCTTTACTTTCAGGGATTGCTGCTAGAAATGAAGGATTGATTTAACTAAGGTGTTCGAAAAGGTATATATTAGAGTAAGCTCTTACTCACTGAGGCGGCTTTAATTCAACGCCATGCAGGCTGCTGTAGGACTGATGTGGGCTTTCGGCTCATTTCCCCCTTCCCATTGACTTTTTCTCCCCTCATTGTCATACAAAAAACGGACTCATAACAGTAACTGTGATGCATGCACGCCTCAGTTGCTGCACTCGGATGATCCGTACTGGATGGCGATGGGTGTACAAAGACACTTTATTTCAAATGTGACCTCATTCTCTGAATATAATGCGAAGGCCATGACAATCTTTGCAACCTTGACAACCGTTGCTTATGACGTTCTTCTGTCTCACTGTCACGTCACTCTGTTTCTCTTTTCCTTTGTATTATGTCGCACTGTCAACATGAGGACCAATGGGACGAAGGGGCTCCTTGCTTACTGTTTCAGTAGCAAAACAGTTTCACAAAAAAAAGAAAGAAAAAATAATCCTCCAAAAAAAAAGTCATATCTGCTTTAGTGTGTTTGGAGGTCAAAAGGGTCTGACCAGGGAGCTGCAGTTTACTTTTATCAGCACGTGTGTTGTAACATGAGGTTGGGACTTAATCTGGATACAGTGGCATGTACAGTTGAGTGGAATCACGGGCAAATACCTTCTACTCCCCTCTGAGAAGAAAGATAGAAAACAGAGGTACTGCTGAGCCACATGGGCACCTACTGAAGCTTTCACTGTGTGTGTGTGTGTGTGTGTGTGTGTGTGTGTGTGTGTGTGTGTGTGTGTGTGTGTGTGTGTGTGTGTGTGTGTGTGTGTGTGTGTGTGTGTGCGTGTGTGTGTGTGTGTGTGTGTGCGTGTGTGTGTGTGTGTGTGTGTGTGTGTGTGTGGCAGAGAAAGATAGGAAAATGTGTATAACAGTGAAACTCTGTGGTGATGAAGTGAGCATGAGAGTGTATCGCATCGTATTCCTACTGCCAGTTTTTGATTGTGTGTGTGTGTGTGTGTGTGTGTGTGTGTGTGTGTGTGTGTGTGTGTGTGTGTGTGTGTGTGTGTGTGTGTGTGTGTGTGTGTGTGTGTGTGTGTGTGTGTGTGTGTGTGTGTGCGTGTGTGTGTATAACCTGTTTCTGTGTGTCTCTCTATTCTCCACCATCCTCTTTTCTGCCCTTGCAGCCACAAAAAGCACTTAGCAACCAAACATCTTATCACTCTTTTCTAGTGTCACACACACACACATTAGTAATATTATACAAGATATTAAAGTGACATATACGGTCAGTATTTCATCTTTACATTTATAGCCTGAAGGACTGATGCTTTTATGCCTTGCTTGTAAATAATTGAAACAGTACAGTATTATTGTGTGGCTCCTCATAATCACAAATGTATCAATATGATAACAATGTATTGTTTGTATATTGAACAAAGCTTTAAAAGGTGTTCATGTTACACCGTCCTGTCTATTTTCTAAAAGAGCAAGTGTTTACTTCTCGGCTTTGAGCACATTCAAAAGATCAAATAAAGAGATTACTTCAACTGTCATTTTGAAAACAACATGACCGGATTCTTCGTTATCTGTATTAATGGTTGTTTTATACTGCCGTGCCAATTATGTTCATTTATTAATCTGTATGATGTTGTTATTCCTGTTTAAGAGCATTAGCAAAGAAAAATCCACTCACTAATGTTATAAAAAGTAAAATGATATCAATGACATTTCCACTTTTAAGGGATAGTTTGGATTTTAAAATGAGGGTTGTATGAGGCACTTAATCAGTGTCAGTGTAATATCAACAGGAGATGAAGGTTGGAGCCATATTGGAAAAACAGACAGGAGTACCACAACATAAGTACAGCAATATACTGCTGTGGAAGGGGGCAGCAGCAAAATGTACGAGTGTATCAGTTTAAGTGAATATCAGATAGCCCTTTCCGGCGAGGAACTGAAGCCATTATGTATGCCCTTTTCAAAGCCATCAGACTCCATTGAAACAAAAAAAGTACCCTTGCATCAAACAACAGTTGCTGTTCTACTGCTGCCTTAATCGATTGGTTTGTTTGTGGTATTGTTTGAGTTTGATTCATCTGATCTAACCTTTTGAAAAGTAATCCAGCTCCCTTTATTCAAAGAAGTTACATGAATACAAACTTCACATTAAGACTTAACCAGAATACATTAACAATTTAAGAACTAATATGCCTTGTATGAAAAGGATATCTAAAAACATCCCCTTTTATGTGATTTCCGTTTGAACTAAGATGACGTTAGACAAAATGTCATTAAACAATTTTAGAAAATGACAGGTGCTTTTAATGAAGGGGTATTTGAGCTCCTATGTTTAGGGTTAGATTTGGGAACCACTTATTTACGCTATAAATAATTGATTTAAAACTCATCCGTAGAATGGCAGATAATACCATTTCAAGATTCTACAATGAAAAAAGGGGTGGATCTTTTCTCTCGACCTGTCTATTTAACGGATCTTTGGATACATTGTTCATCTTACGTTTTTATATATAAAGTTGGTACTAATGTTCCAGGTCTTATATAAATGAATCCTTGTTGATTGGTTGAAACAGCAGTGCTTCTATCAATTTGTGAACATGGTGACGGGATGAAGAGTTTGGATTTGACTGTAGATGTTAAGTTTAGAATCATTTGTAAATGAGGCCCTGAACAGAAAATACTCAGATAACAAGCTGAACAGACAAAAGCGATCTTAACATCGTACACAACAACGTGATCAAACCCTGAATCAGTCTCAAAACGAAGACTTCTCGGAGTTCCACTCTGCCTGCAAAATTATTTTGACAAATCTTGTATTATCTACCCAGATTTGGTTTTGCTGTTAAAATTACAAAACTACTCTTTCCTTTTCAGAAACAGCTCTGGCTCCCCTGTTGTCTGAGACACTGTAGCTGTAGACAATATCATTTATTTCCTGCTAGGGATTCATTTTCACCAGAGATGTAACTGCTTTGTGTTTCAACCACACTACATTTGCACTGAGTAGTACCCAGGAGTGCTTCCACAAAGCCTGATGGGTGGTTAGGAATGAAGTGCGTGGTTGCATCAAATTAAATAAAGAGCACTAGATTAAATTTTGTTCATCATGCTACTTCTGCACCTGAGTTCTCGTGAGTAGCATCAATAAGAATGACTGGCTAACCCAGGGGTGGGCAAACTGTTTGGCTCGGGGGCCACTGTGAGTTTTAAATTTGACAGACGGACCGGGCCAGTAGCAGATCGGTAAAAAAATATTTAGCTGTCCACTCCTCATTATACACTCGGCACTCAATGTTGACTTTTCTTTGGTCCACTCATTGTTACAGATGCAGGTTCAAAGGTGAATTATTGCGTCATTGCGTCATCGTTTGTGTCATGACGTAACCGTTTACTTGCCTTCTTATGACCCACACAGCGTTTTACGTCGCTGATTTTCTCCGCAACACCGCTCACAACAACATCAATAGAGGACTGCGTCGGGTAGTTTTTAATTATACGAAGCCAGATTAAATTAAAGAACTACTTCTCCAACCTTGTACCTTTCTCCAGAGTGCCGTGGTGTATTGTTTATTAATGTGGTTCAGCTGCATTACCGCCCGCTGCAGTGCTGCTCGTCTACCGGAGTTTATTCTCCCGTTAACTCGCGGCAGCGGCCGCTGTAAAGTTTTCACTGTCTGACCGTCACACAAGCAGCTGATAAATATCCCCCATCCCCATAAGTGAATGTGTTTTAGTCTGAAAGCTGTTTGGCATCACAACGCTGTTATGAAAGTTTCTCTGGCATTCTACAGGTGATGTTAGCTAATCAGACTATCTTACTTGTTGCTATCATATTGTGGCATAAGACGTTTTCTACACGCATATTTTACTGGCGTAGTTTTCGTTATGATTTTACTTGTGATGGCCACATGTAGCCCATGTATTGATTCCATCCGATAGTTGCAATAATACAAAACAAAAGGAAAACATCTGCGTCTTCACAATGGTCAATAACAGTGAACGGATGGTCATTAAAGTAAGGTAAAATAAACAGAATCACACTAAGCCTGGTTAGTGTTGCCTGACTTTATATAGGCATAAGTGTGTGGTCGCGTTCTAGTCACTTTTCTCAGCGCTACTGCTTGTTACAACTTGTATTCGCCGATCTTGCCGGGTTGCCGAGTGGGGCCAGCTGAGAGAATAGACCAGACTCCAGCAAAGGTAAATTGTGTCTAGAGTGCGCCATCTAGTGGGATCAACTGAAATGCCGGGTATTGCAGGATAAAGGCAAAATTAATGCGGTCTTTACTATAATTTGGAAAATGTTGTACCAATATTCGGCGGGCCGGATTCAAAAGCCCAACGGGCCGTATATGGCCCGCGGGCCTTAGTTTGCCCATGCCTGGGCTAACCTCTACATTACAGAAAACCCTTCTATCCTTCTGTAATGAAAATTGCTTCTATGTTCAGTCACCTGCGGCATAATGCACCAGGTAAGGGATCCATAAAGAGGGGTTAGCTGCCTCAGCTTTTACTGAAATGGTGTATGTGGAAAATGTTAAATTATGTGTGAGCTGGGAAAACCATCTCGTCCGAGAACCTAACATCAGATTTTGGTCTGAGTTTACCAGAAAGTGATAATAACCTGACCCAGACAAGCCATATAACACAGCCCTGCTCTCTCTATGTGCCTCATGTGGATTCTTTCCTCCTCTGAAAGCTGACTGAGTTTGCCTCCATGATGAAGCAAACATGGATTCTGTCATTGCCGCCCCTCCCTCATCAAAGAGCTTGCTTTGTCAGCGGGTCGCATCCTCACACTGCTGGCGGTTTGTTCCTCTGCTGCAGATCTGAAGCAACACGATCAGAAAAATGCACAGATGGAGATGCAGCCGGCACTGTCATACCTCATGTCCCCTTTTAACTCGGGTCTTTGAAGATGCTCCTGGGCTTAATGGACAAATGAGGAGAGCTGAATTCAATCTTTCTTCATCATCAGCACGTATATTAACGTGTTTACCTTATTTATTTGAGAGTGTGTCTATTATCATGGAGTGTGAAGATTTTGCTGCTCAGATCAGAAACAAATTATTAAAGGGGAAACTATTAATGAACTGAGATTTAACAGCATCATTACATAAATCTTTAAAGTCCTAAGCCATGTTTCCTTCTGCTTTTGTAGGCGATGAAGATGTTTTCCACTCAGCCTCCCAAACCCCCCGTCTTCTCCGCCTCCCTCACACATGTCACAACTAATTTTTAGCAGATATGCATGAGTGCTCAGTGGGAGGGCAAATCCAGACCAGATTGTATAGAAGTATTTCATGTGTGTGCAGTATGCGGCTGTAAATACTCATGAGTGGATTTTAAGATTAATCCCCTGAGATATGACGCTAAAGATTTTAATGCAGAAGGGATTAGCTTTCACTTTGACGGACTGTTTATTGAGTCTGATGGACTTGAGGGAACTCCCTTCTTTCTCAGGTATAGATTTGAGTATCGATGTATTGAACATTTCACTTTATTGCTTCTCATCTCTTCTTTAACCCCACTTTTATCCTCCTCCAATGTTCCCTCTGTGTATTATCAAACATCTCCATCTGTTTGAACTCCACCACTTTTTCTAGACACCCCACCCCCACCCGACCCTTAGCTTGATATCCTCTTCCTAACTTTCATTCTGGCTCAGTGATGTATCAAAATCTTGAGACGTATATTAGCCAAATATGTTAACATTTTAGATGGAGCTCCTCCTGCCTGCAAAAGCTACCAGCATTGAAGCAATAGTTCAACATCTTGTGTAATATGTTATGTATTGTCGATATGCAATCTCAGGTGAGAAGATCAATATCACCTCCTTGTCTGTGTGAGAGCGGAGCTCGAGATTGGAAACAGGCAGAACAAAGCTAATCTGATAGTTTCAATCTCAATTGAAGTAATCATTCGGGGATTGTCAAGAAAATGGAGAAGGTGCTGCACATATGTCGGCTGGGAGAAGAACATTGGTTGTTGTAACAGCATACAAGAATAGCACTACAACTTAAGTGAAGTAAGTGAGCTTTAAAGATGCTAGCAGGTGTATATTTAAGTGTCAGGCTAGCCGTTTTTCAATTGAATCCAGCCTTAATGCAAAGCTAGGCTATCCATCTTAGGGTAGATCAGGGATACTCAACTCACTTTGCCTGGAGGACACAATTAAGAAATTACATGAGGACAGCTAAGCTAAATGACTCCTGACCATAGCTCCATTCTGATTGGACACATCGTGGAGCGGTAATGTCATTCTAGTCTAAGTCTCGGCAAGAAAGCAAATAAGCATATTTCTGTAATGTTGAACTATTGCTTTAAAGGTCCCATGTCATGCTCTTCCGGTTATTACCCGTCCCCTTGTGTGTTATGAAGGTTTTTCTGCATGTAAACGGTCTGCAAAGTCACAAACCCTCAAAGTACACCCTGTAGCGAGTAAAACTCTAACACAGAAAATACCTGTCTATGTCCCAGAACGCCTCGTTGGCGATTTCTTATCAGCCATTGTTTTCATCCTGGGTATGGTGAT